AGCAACTGTATTGCTTATGCATCTTTCTTGGTCTTGTGCCTTTCTTCCTAGACATTTCTAGCCAAGTTTGCCATCTAGATTTTTTCTTTCTTCCAGGAGGAATCTTTATGACTGGAACACCACATGGTTCCTTCTTGACATCATTTTCATCAGAAATAGGTGGGTTAATGGGATGGGAGTATGCCGCATATAAGGATTCCCGTGAGTAAGATGGACACACAAGTGTTGACAGTTTCACGTTGGCCTCTTCTGCCGCTGCAATAACATGTGAGCAAGGGATTTTTTCAACATCATACACACCACAAGAACACTTCCTTTGTTGCAAATCAACAATACAATCTCGTGCTCCACCCTTAACAAAGAAACGCCAGCCATCAATGGGTTCTGCCTTCAAATCTCCTGCCTCATATTCTCGAATTGCCAATAGATACTCTACTCCACGGGTATGGCTTGTTGTGAGACTTAGAGCATCTTCACGCCTTTTATGATACCATCTCCCGAGCTTTGTTCTTATAAACTCTAACAGAAATGTGATGGGAAACCCTTTGGCTTCCTTAACAGCCGCATTGATCGATTCTGCGATGTTGCTAGTCTTTATGTTGTACCTGTCTCCCGGGAAATGGACTCGTGACCATAACCTCGGGTCCGCAGTCTCCAAATATTGAGCAAGTCTGGGGTTTACCTCTCGGATTGCGTCCTTGTATCGATTATAATCGTAAGTCGTATGTGCATATGCAGCACCTTTCACCAAGTACATGAGTTGCTTCCCATGAAACTTAGTCACAATGTTTTTTGCTGCAGATGATAGTAACATATACCTCGTGTTGCCCATGGTATGACATTCTTAAATGCATCAGCTATGGAGTCGTGCCGGTCAGAAACTAGGACAAGCGGATACCCATCTGAGAAACATCTACTCAATTTGGTGAAAAACCAATTCCATGAATCATTACACTCAGAATCCACAATTCCAAAATCCAAAGGAAATATCTGAAAGTTACCATCATGTGCGGCTGCCACTAGCAAAACACCTCCATACTTCCCAGTTAGATGAGTCCCATCTACAACAATCACTTGCCTCAAGTACTTAAAACCAGCTATGGAAGCTCCAAATGAAATAAACAGGTACTTAAATCGATCCATCTCATCGCATACAAGGTCTGTGACACTTCCCGGATTAGCTCTCTCAATTTGACGCAAATAAGAAGGCAGCTTCTCATATCCATCTTCTGCTGTTCCTCTCACCAATTGTTGGGCATATATCAAAGCTCTATAAGATGTGGTGTAACTGAGGTTTAGACCAAACATCACCTTCATAGAATCTCTGATATGCTTTGGCACAATTCCATCGATTATGCCAACTCGTTCCACAAACAGAGCCCTAATGTACTTAGGTGTACAACGTCTACGATGAGCTGACCGGTCTATCACAGAACAAGTATGATCTTTCAAATACTTTGTCACCCAGAATGTGTTTGCTTCGTTCTTCACACCCGCTCTAACCATCCAAACGCATCCTTTGACTGAATATTTTGCTACAAACAAAGACGTTGTAGACTTATATACTTTGAAAGCAAATCTCTTCATAACTGCCATCAATCGCAACTCAGATACAAGCTTCTCCTTGCTAGTAAAACTCTGATTAACAAAGATTTTAGACGACCAACTACTATCCAGTCGATCAAAACCACCACAACGCTCTCTTACACCCTCAACTTCATCCTCATCTTTAACTTTCCCGTACTCACTGTAATCCACATCTGAGTCATCATACTTTTCTTTCATATTCTGATTAACTTCATCTTCATTCAAACTATCAGCTTCATCCTCATTTTTAACGTTTTCATCCCAATCTTTAGCGTCTTCATCCCAATCTTCTTCAGCATCAGAGCACGTATCCGCATGTCCATCCACATCATCATTCTCATGGTCCACTATCCTACTCGAAACACAAAGGCGAACACCATGCATCTTACTTAACTCAATCAAGCTCTGAACATGTCTATCATTTGTGACATACATAGGCGGAGAATCAGGAGGCATTTGTTGAAGCATCTGAGGTGGTAAGGGATAGGATAACTCCACCTTTGTTTCCTTTTCCAGCATATAATCCTCTTGCACCATTCCAAGAAGCTCAACATGTGTGCAACCATCTCTTAAGAACAACATACGCCCTCTTTTGTTATTATCCACCTCGAACTGCCAAACTGATTCAGTCTTAACCCATTCTCCATAAACAGCGGGTATGTGAACCATTCTCTGTGAAAAAAAAAACCAAATCCAAACCACATTAGACATCAACGTTGCATAAGTAGACTTCTCGGTAAGTCGAATGAAGTCTACTTAGTAGACTTCTATAGTAGACTAAGAAGTCTACTCTTAATAAGCTAAGTATCATATAAAACATGAAAACTCATTCGACTATACCTATAAAATATAAACATGCAAAACTTATACATAAGCAAGAAAACTTAATAACAGAATCTTAGGATCACGAAAATCATAAAAATTCGTTATATATTGTATATAAATGATTTTTTTTTTTAAACATGAAAAGTAGACTTCTCGGATAAAAGTAGACTTCTCGCAGGTTAGTTTTGCAATTGCCAAAATATTAGTAGACTTCTCTATGAAAAGTAGACTTCTCGGAGAAGTCTACTTTCGTAAGTAGACTTCTCGCAGGTCATTTTTGCAATTACAAAATATTTGACTTTTTGGTCAATTGCAAAAATGACCTGCGAGAAGTCTACTTAGAAGACTTCTCGGAGAAGTCTACTTCCGTAAGACTTCTCGGAGAAGTCTATTTCCAAAAAGTCAAATATTTTTCAATTGCAAAAATGACCTGCCAGAAGTCTACTTACGAAAGTAGACTTCTCCGAGAAGTCTACTTTTTATAGAGAAGTCTACTCTGAAAAGTCAAAGGTTGGTCAATTGCAAAAATGACCTGCTTCTAAAGAAGTCTACTCGAGAAGTCTACTCCATTTTTTTGTTATCAAAGGAAATGGAGTAGACTTCATTCGGACCAAAAGAAGTCTACTTTTTCATACGGTCAATTGCAAAACTAACCTGGGCGTTGACTAGTAGACTTCATTCGGACCGAGTGAAGTCTACTTTCGGAGCCCAGAACTGAAAAACACCAAAATTGACTGAAAATCCGACTTACCACTCGCCTTTAGCTTCTTTTCTGGTCAAGATCTTCGATCCTAGCCACAATGAAAGAAGCACAACCGCAACAAACAACCAAATCGCCAGAATATAGAAATTTTTATGAACTTCAACTTTTTAATAGACAAATTATAAAGCTTTTGGGAAGAAAATAGAGAGGAAATGGAAGAATAGAAGCTTAAAGGGAAAATAATGAGCTCAACAAACTCAAAAATGGGTTTTTGCCACCATTAAAGCTTCAAAATTGGTTGAAAATGGTGGTTGGGTGAATTGATGATGATGGCATTTTAAATAAGTGAGGAAGATGAGGATTAGTTGGTCAATTGAATTTCCGAAAATAAATAAAATTAATTAAAAACAATGGCAATTTCGTGAATAACTGAAACTATGATGGATTGTTTGGACACAAAATGGCAAATGTTGGGAAGGTGATTTTGGTGGGTTAGATTTGCAATTCAAATCAAATTTTAGGTCATTTTTGCAAGTATCCCTTTTTACTATAACTTCTACTTCTTATTCGTATATATAATATTATAAAAATATTTTGCTAAGAAATACTTATAATTTTTTTGTTATTAGTTTCTTTTTTTGTTTCATTTATAATTTCGAATTCTTGCTATATAATGAAAATGCATTCACATATGATATAATATTTTTTCTTAATTAATAATAAGATTTATTTAGTTTTAACTCAATTTATTAAAATATTTTGTTTATTTTAGAAAATTTGTCATATCACATTTCCAGGCTGGCATTCTTTTATACTAACTTTTGCTAAAGTGATGACACATTAGATTTTTTTAGTAAATGTGCTTGTCAAATAATATTAAGGATGATTTAAGGTGTAAAATAATATATTTAATATTTGATTGTTATATTAAAATAATGCTTTAATATATTGGAAAAAATATATGCATGAAAAAAAAATATGTGTAAGATAATATTTTCAAATAAAAACATAAAATAAATCAAAATTATTCTTTTTTTTCTTTTTTGACTCATACTTTTTTTAACATTTAATAATATATTAAACATTAAGATCATCTCCAATGTATTTTTCTATTTTTGCTCTAAAATATAAGTGGACTTCTCTCCAACTTCTTTCTATTTTACAGAAAAAGAAAGATTGTTATTTTTTCCTTTATAATTGGGGAAAAAGTAACAACCTTTCTTTTTCTTCTATACTACAAGTTTTGAAATACAGGTGGGTTTAAGATGCTTTAAACCAAAAATATAGCCTGAGATTTTTACATAAAACCAAAGTTGTCAAGATTCACTTTTACTTTTACATCTACTTTTTATTCATATATACAGTATTATAATAAAAAAAAGTTAGCTAAGGAGATACTTATAATTTATTTTTCTATCTGTTTGTTTTTTTATTTTATTTATAATTTTGAATTCTTGCTACATAATGAGAATTCATTCACATATGATATAAAAAAATTCATATTTTAAAAAAATTATTTAGTTTTAACTTAACCAATCGAAATATTTCATTTATTTTAGGAAATTTAACATGTCATATTTCGAGGCTAACATTCTTTTACTCTAATTTTTTCTAAAGTGATGACACATAGAGTTTTTTCCAGTAAACATGCTTCTCAAATAATAATTAGGATTACCGTATACTTCATTAATAAAACTATATTGTCAATATTAAAGTATAATATTATACAAAACTTATATAAATTATATTAAATTTAAATAACTAGTAATTATTTCATTCTACACTTAGTGTAGGTTATTACCTAATTGCATATTAACTTGTATGCATCTCTATTTTTTGCACGTGCAATAATTGTCGTAATTTTTTTCTTATATTTGTTTTTTAGTGAAAATATTATACTTATATCATTTTTCTCTAGCTCCCCGATAACCAATGCCAGTATCAATTCATTGCAACAATACATAATAGTATAGTTTAATCAAAAAAGAACAACAAAATTTGAGATTGTAAATAACCAAGTGATAGAAAACTGGCAATGTACGTATTATATAACTTAAAACTCAGTCACGTACATGAAATATTTCTTCAAGGTCTCCAGACTTTAGGAGGTGGTGGGGCAGGAGGATAGAGAGGAGGAACGCCATTGAACATCGTGTTCTTATCAATTCGGTAGCCACCACTGCTGGTTAAGGAAACAAGAGCAGCCACGAGCCCTGCATTTCCGGACAGAGTAGGCTCGCTCGCGTTGTAATTGCGTCGTATGTCATGGAACTGATCGAATTTGTTTGGTCCTCCGACCATAGCTCCTGTGATGTTGTGTGGGTTTGGATTTTTTGTGTCTCTATACTTCAATCCTTCTCTACAGCTTCTTCTCTTCTTGTCGTTTGGAATCGTGGCTCCTCGGTGGTGAACGTGTCTTGGAAATTTCTTGCCGAATCCAACCACATAGCTCATTTTCAAAGGGTTGTTTCCAAGAATGTAATCGATCTGATAAAAGCAATAACCAAGAATAAATAAAGATCAACTATGAAATGAAATCATAAGTTTGTACTGTATTATTAAGTAATTTAAGTTACACAAGCGGTGTTTTGGTACTTCCGGAATATTTGCAAAAATTTGGATCATAATCTTGTAATTTTATTTAATGAGACAAATGTATAAAAATACCTAACTCAAAGTTGAAGTATTTGTTACATTTGTCTTGTCTATTTCAATTTTAATTTTTCAAAATAACATTTTTACTTACAAATGTTAAAATACCTAACTCAAAGGTGAAGTTTTTTCATTATGAACCTCCTAAGAAAAGCCAAAATATATATGATAGTTTGTGTATTGATATATGTAAGATACATTTCGAGAAACAGCCTTTTCTAAAGTTCTATATGCATTTTTGACACTTTCTTAGATTCATTTGCGCGAATAACAGTTCTGAAGACAAAACTACCGTTTTAATTAACCACAATTTAGTGATATGTACAATATAACTTAGAAATATGTACTTGTGTACGTGAAATATCAAAAATTGGGTAATATGTGAGATGAGCTTTATTCTTACCTGAGACATAGCAAAATCCTTAAGAACATGATTGGAGACAAAGGTAGGGCCACAGTACCATCCAGGAACTCCAGTTGAATTGAGATAATCCGCAAACAAAGAAGCTAAGAAAGAAGCATGAGCCACATATTCAAGTGGTCTTGGGTTTCCCATGTTCAATTGTATAAGCCCTCCTGCAAATTTTCTCATAAAAAACAAATTGAATATCATTTTCAAGACACACTAACACAAAACAGAGTAATAAGCAGAGTAATTAACCTGAAGTCCGGTTAAACACATTGTACTGCTTGAGATAAGCACACATTGTGACACCAGTAGCATTATGGTACCTATTCAGCATGTTCTCATAAGGAAAACCAGGATTTAAGAACAATCGATACCGAGTCATCAACAACATTGCTCCAGGTAATTTGTTATTCCAGCTCGGTACCATCAACTCCGGTCTATTAGCAAAAGCTTTAGCCGTTTGAGGCACACTCGGCGTGGTGGCGAGTTCTATGTAAGTCTTGTTTCCAGTAGCGTAGTAAAGCCACGCGCCAGCCCACATGAGCTCGTCGAACACACTTGTTGAGTTGTAGAAGGCTTGAGTCGTTGGCTTTCCATTGGAGTAGCGATTGCGTCTGGATTTGCTTCTAAAGAAAGGCCATAGAGTTTCTGCGCCTTTCTTGAGCTTTTGGGCGTAGTTTGGTTTGTCGGTGAAGACGATCGAGGCTGCGGCTAAGGCGGCAGCAACTTCTGCGCCGAGGTCAGTGGCCGAAGTTGCGGAAATGACAGGACGGTCGTATGACATGTCTTCTGGTCTTTGCCAACAGTAGATATCATCTGGTGATTCTGAGTCTCTAAGCCCTCCACCAACCTAGGAGTCATGGAAACAGGGCTTAGATCCAGATGGGTAAGTTTTAGGTTTCTTAGTGCGCAAGAGACTATTGGAACAACTTGTTCATATAATTGAAATGTCGGTTTCTTGATGCGCAAGAAATTTGGCTGATTGAATCCTGCTAGGGTTTATAGTTTTAAAGAGGCGAAAAAGTAACATGAACAAAATATTTTCCTTCTACTAAAATAATTTTTAATATATATATATATATAGCACCAATGAAACAATTTTTTACAATTTTTTTTTTTGTCAACAGCCTATTTTTTACAATTTTATCATCATCCAAAAAATTATATTTGTTTATTTTCTTCGATTTAAGTAAAAATTATATCTGTATATACCAAAGTATTTAGTGTAAGATAATAAAGATAGCTAACGAGTTGATTTTCCTCCTTATATTTCCAATGAGAAAATAACCGAAAAATAAAAAGAATTATTATGACGAAATGAAGAAACAAACGTTAGAGATTAAAGACCTGAGTGTAGATATGATCAAGGCGAGTAGCAGAATTGTTGAAAGTGAGAAGAAGATAATCAGTGCCCCATTTGAGAACATCTCTCATGTGATCATACTCATTGATGGCTTTGAATTTGTGACTATACTCAATGAGACTCCAACTTAGCATTGTCATTGAGAATGCCATCGGAAAATGAAACTTGATGTTGCTTCCTCCATCGTAATACCCTCCGAATAATCCTCCGGGCACCTCCGCTGGCCCATCCTTCAGCCCTGAATCTCCCCTCCATGAAACCCGATTGTTCTTCGGCAATTTACCCGCTGCATGATCGTATTTTCATTAATCATCATTCTTTATTTTCAGATACTAATATTTTTTTAGATATGTCAATCATAACCAAATTCTTGAATATATTGGTAAGTAAAATGTGAAACTATGTTGTAGTGCTTTTTTGTTTGTTTTGAACTCGTGTTCATTCGTTTGATCAGTTGATATGATCATATGAATATGGTTTTCGTTTAACAAAATCACTATTTTTTTCTTATTGATCTTTACTAATATTTAATATATCTTATTACTGTATATAAAGTACAAAAACCTACATTAACAGAATCAAGAATTATTTTGCCATTATGAGTGGAAAATAATATAGAAATGTATATGTATATTATTGATAATGACGATTAAAAACTTATCGTTTTAGTGATTTAAAGAGTATTCGAATTTACTCTTTACTTCGACTTTTAACATATTTTCTATGGGATTTATCATGTAGGGAATAACACAATTCCAAACGAGCCCTTAGATTAATGAGATTCTAGAAATTATGAAATTAATATCAAAACCGCGTAAAAAAAGTTAGTCCTTGGAAAGCCAAACCAAGATGTTAGCAGCATTACCAAAAGCCAGCTCACAAGAATAAAATGGGGAAATGTGACGGTACAAGTAATTAGTCGGATAAACGTGCTACAAACAGATTTGGTATTTTATTGGAATGTCAACGCGTTATGTAATCTTCTTGAACTCTACCACCTAACGAATGTTTATATTTCGATCACTAATCTCCACCTTTTCGGTAATAATAATTTAGCGAGCTTGTGAACGCGGAACCGTTCAAAGTTTCCTGACAATGAAATATGACTTTTTATATCAGTTGATTGTACCAGCAATCCAACTTTTTCTTTGAGATTTAGCTAAATTTGCAAATATATTCACACTTTCCACACTCCAAAATACATTCTCTTTAATAAGTCATTAACTAAAGTTAAAAATTAATAAAAAAATGTCATTAACTATATCATATATAGTTAAGTCTTCAACAGTAAATCGCTGTATTTTTCCCGGTAAACAGTTTTGTACTGAAATAGTGTATTAATTTACAAAAAATTAAATATATGATGTGATAACTTAGAACTCTTCTCACTTGTTTTCTTTAACCAGAAAACAAAAACTCGTCATCTTGTTTAGTTTATAGTTAAATAACCTATTTTTCAAGAGTGGAAATTAACTATCTTTATATTATTATGCGGGAAATAAGAGAAAATAAGGAAAATAAAACAAACAAAAGACTTACATTTCTGGGCATCGAAAAACTGAATAGCCTTATGGAGGGCAAGCGTGTAATTATCTAGAGGAGGAGGGGTAGACTTATGACGAGGCAACGACTTGACGATGATGATCGGAAGAGCAACGACGAGGAACAAGACGACGATAGATCCAACGGTCCACATAAAAACCGTGCGGCTCACGGATACACAGCCTAGGTTTACATACTTCTTTCTCTTCTTTTTCCAGCTATCTTGTGGTGCAAGCAACCAGCTTTGTTGCGTCTCGTCCAATTGGTTCCTCTGTTCTTCCGCGGTTAGCTGCTGCGAGTGGAGGGCTCCTCTGTCCCACTCCGTCATGTTCCTCCGCCGTTCTTCCTCCTCCGCCGCGGCTCGGTCGCTATCTATGGCGTCTAGCTTACCGCCCCATAGATTCCCCGGATGCATTTCTCTGAAGAGCTTTTCAAAATTGGATGATCAATTTTGTTGTTTAGAAGATATATAGAAATGATCAAAAGAGCTTTTGCCTTGGAGAACAGAAGGGTATTTTATTAATTTTGATTTGTGAATCTGTGATGGGTGAGAGGGATATATTAAAGAGTGAGTTGACTAAAAGGGCATTTAGGAAATGGGGAAGGTTGTTTCTAGTCTTATAGAATTGGAATCGAAGTTTTTTATATTTATTACTTTTGATAATTCTTGAAGACTTGATTCAATTAATTTCGGTTTATTAATATTCTTTTGCTATATGAGATTAAAATTTGAATCGGACAAGCCGGATTCATTGTTTTCTTAAATTTGATCCATTGTTTTTTTCGAACACATTATTTTTGTCTTCCAATGTAACAAAGTATATATATATATATATATATATATATATATATATATTAAGCGATTTTGTGTGTTCTTAAACTCTTCATTTGTATGACCTTAAATTCTTCATTTCTAATGATCTTTATATATATATATATATATATATATATATATATACTTTTAGTAAAAAAAACGAAAAAACCATTTTATGACTTGTTAATGTTTTGGTTCTTAAAGCAAATAAATATTTTTACTCTGATTTGAATTGATAGATTATTTTTCAGTTTTTAAACATAATTTTTTTTTTTTTACTATAAATGCTTCAATCTTTTATTATTAAACAACTAAGAAACTAATGATTCCATTTAACCAAGGATTCACATGATGAAAATTTTGTAGCTGTATCGACCAAACATCAGTCTCTGAAAACCACGTTGACGAGCAGCAATGCGAGTGGCGGCTCGTCACAATCTCTATCTTATAATCGACTTGAGATGGGTAAGAGAAACCAAGAGTTCGTGGAGGTTAATGAGTAAATCATTAAACCCGTTTGGTTGTATTCGATATAGAACATATATATATATCTTCCATTCCCTCTTTGCCTTCGTAGTAGATCTGCGTTTCTCCTTCCGTTAGGGTTTTGTTGTTGGAGGCTTGACAGTCCCTCCGTCTCCTTCGTATTGTCCAGCAGCTCAAGTTTTTGCTTTACCCTCCTTGCTTGCTCGAGGATGGCTTCTTGGGAGGTGTAGTAGCATCTCGTGCCGAAAGCGTTTGCTACGTTGTTGTTATCTTTGGTCTTCGGCCTTGAGTCTCTCTGTGGCAGCAGCAGCTCTCTTTTTATTGGAGGCGGATTTGGGTACCTGGTTTGGACAGGGCCACGAGGACTAACCCTTCCTTCTCTACGTCTTCGTCTCCCCTGCCTCTAGTTCTTGCGGTGGCTTCTCTGTTCTTTTCCCGTCGGTTAGGGATTTTGCAGTGGCTTTGTGGCAAGTGTTTCTGCATCTTTCCCATCGTCTTGTGGTGGTTTGGGCGGAGGTCTCTGGCTATGGTTAGGCCCGGTTTGAGCTGCCCAGGCGACGACCGGTGGTGAGGCTTCAACGTTGGTTTGGATATTCAGAGCTCTTCTCTTAGTTGTTTGCTAACTGTGGCTTCTCTATTCTGTCATGGCCTCATGTGTGGCTCCAACAGATTGGTTCGAAGCCAGTTGATGCCTCCGAGTTGCTAACTTGGTATTTGATTCTTTCAATGCTCCAAAAAACTCCAAAACCTCCAATTATGCTCCAGACATGCTATAACCTGAGATCAACTCCCCGAGACTTAGCTTTTGTTTGCCCTCAAGCAAACATCAGACAGCGAACAGGGTCGATGTTTGATAACAGAAACAGTCAGCTAAACATCAGGAACACCACATTAATCAATACTTTCGAATCCACATACCACAGAGCCAACACAAAATCAAATTTCTGTCTAATCATCACAAGCTTACCAAATCTCTCAAATCCAGTTCAAGCTCCTTCAAGAAATCCGAAATCTCTACTGCTAACTCCTTATATTTATCTAAATGTGATGTCTCATCAAGGTTTTATCATCTCAATCACTTACAGATTCCTTTCCCTTCCTAAAGAACTGAACAAAGCAATCTCAACACAACTCTCCTATTTTCTCTTCCTTTGATCTTTTCCTATAGATATTTTCGATTTTTCAACTTCTTTTCTCATTTTTTTTTACAGTCTAAGATTTGGTACTACTCAATACGTGTGTTCCTTGTGAGGACACAAGTTCTTGAGTGTTCATTACTGTTGTTCCTTGTAAGGAGACAGGGTCATGATGCACCATTCTATTGACTTAAACTCTTAAAAGTTGTATTAGAGAAGATCAAAGAGAGACTGCATCTAAACATTCTTGTCAGTGTTGAAAGAGAGAATCAAGATCAATGAGAATAAAGCTCCAAGATAATAAGTTTAAAGTTCATTAAGGTGAAGCTAACAGCAAATTTTCCAGTTTCTCTAAGAGCCTAAACCTTCATTGCTAGACTGATCTACCTATGACTTTCAACTTAATAAGACTTGTAATCAACTACTGTGGCAATGGTTCTTATAAGCATCAACGTTTTGTTGTTAGTTTCAAGAAAAACTGACAATTTCAAAATTTTGACTCTATAAAACAGATTTTTGACTCAACTTTAAGACTCTAAAACCAAAACAAAATGCACACAACGTCAGTAGCCACCTCCCCCAGACTTAAACAACATTATCCCCAGTGTTATCAAGCCTAGAGTTGGTCAAAAAGAAGCAAGTGAACGTGGAAAAACCAAGTTTGAAAAATGTACCTCGCGAAGGATCGGGTGACGAGCGTCACCTCTCAGTGGCGACAATCGGCACCGCGTATGAAACTCCAGCATCGACTAGTTAGATCTGGTTAAACGTTATATTATCATATGTAATCTAAAGTCAGACTGTTAGAGCACTCAAACACACATTTAATAACATCCAAATAAGCATTACTCCTAGTTCAACAAGTCCACAAAACAACATCAAAGCAACTGACAACTGACTCAAAAGAAAAACATAAAAATGACTCAAGAGAAATAAAAGAAAAGAGAAACAGAAATAAGTAACCAGATAGTGGAGGATCTAGTCCTCATCCTCGCAGGACTCAGCAGTGGAGTGAGGGCGGACACAGCCACAATTGCTGAGTGTAGACACAACATCCCATGAGCCCTCAAAGCTGTCAATGACATAGTCCTGAAAGGCAGTCATATCCATGGGCGTCTGAGGTCTAGGAGGGCGCCTGAAAGCAGTGGGTGTGGTTGTGGATGTAGTATGGCGTCTCAATGGTCCAGCCTGTGTAGCAGCAGTGGAAGAGGAAGTGTCAGCAGTGGCTCCTCTAGGACGATGGGGAAGAAGACGCAACAAACTCGGGTTAGGCTGAAAACGCAGCTGGCGTCTATTGCCCCAGATCATGGTGAGCGTCCGGTTTGGCAACTGTATGCCAACATACTCTCCAACAAGAGTAGTGTAAGTCCAGACCAATCGCTGCTTGAACCAAGTAGCCTGGCGTAAATGTGTCTCATCCATGAGAGCTCTCTCAGTGATAATGCTACAAGGCGATGTAAAAGTGTTGAAAGATAGGCATGAGAAGGCTGCCAACGCTCTCACTCTTCTCCCTCGGACTGGTAAATGGCTTGGTCTTCAGAGAGACCAAGTGCTAAGCTAAAATGGCACCCAGATTGGCGCGGATCATGCTCCTCATCGGGATCTCATCATCCAGCATATCTGCAAAGCCGTAGTAGAGCAGAACCAGCTTGTTGACACGCATCTTGCTCGGCGCATTGCACAAGATGGTGTTGCCTAGAAGGCACATAATATACCTTATCACAAGATGTCGAACGTCCATCTGTGTGCTTGTCTTGCTCTCATAGATGCCATTCCCAAACTTGGACCAAAATGTCTACATGTGGGTCCACTGCGAAGGTGTGAGCACTCCTGAAGGATGGTAAGGGAAGCCATAGATCCCGCAAAGCTCAAAAAGACTGAGCCTGTAGCGAATCCTTCATATCAGAAATGTAAACGTGCCCTGCTACACTGTCCTGGCCAGCTTGTTCTCGTAGTAGACGCGAACGGTGGAGAGGAAATGGTGGACTAGATCGGGTTACAAATCGTACTGCTGTGTCGCCATCGTACCCATCCCGATCCTCTCTAGAATCTGAAGAACCTCATCTTGAATGCCCATTTTATGTAGCACTGTGATGTCCGCAAATCTGGTAGGAATGATCTTCACGTCTTTCCACACATTGTAGAATAGCGTGTCATACTCATCACAGTCCTCCTGTATGTCATGGAACACACAAGTATCTCGCGCCATCTCCTGCTTCGGTGTTCCTGCCCAAGAAACTCCTGATGCGATTTTCCGATCCACTCGCTTAGGCCATGGAGGACTGCACACTGGTCTACTGCTGTCCGATTGCGCTGAACCCAATGCACCGCTTGATGAAGATGCTGGTCGTTGTCTCTTCTCGCGTGGGGGCATCTGAAAATTCAAATCAAGAGCAACTAATAATTCACCAAATTAGCCAAATTTTGAAATTCCAAAAATCAATGAATCAGTGTAAATTAGCTATGGCGATCAATCACAGCAGTACCAGGAACACAATTCAATCACAACTTCAACCCAAATCACCCAAAATTTCCAGATTTTTGCAAATTTCATCATGAACTCGAAAATTTCAAAAACTTGTAAATCAACCAATAAAATCACATATGGATGGTATCATTCATCTAATACAACCCAACTAACCATGATTCAACAGTTAAATCAAGTCCAAAATTGATTTTAACCAAACCTATGGCGGACTGAAAATTGGGGATTTCGAACACATACCTTGCAGATCTTGAAAATTGAGTAGAGATTATGAAAAAGCACTAAAATCCGCACGGATTAGGCTTTTGAATCACTCAATTTGGTTAACAAAATCAAAAGTTGCAAATTTGGTGTTCTAAGTTTTAAGTGTTCGATGATTTCAGTTGTGAAGCGAAGAAGAAGAAGAAAAAAGGAGTAAATCGCGTACCTTGGCCTCGGACGGGTGACGAGCGTCACCCAGTAAAACGAATAGTTTTCTTTTTTTTGAATAAATAATAACTAACTAATATATATACACAAAAAATAAATACCAAGTATAGAAAAATAGAACTTACCAGTGGGATGCCTCCCACTAAGCGCTTGTTTAAAGTCATTAGCTCGACTTTGATTGCTGTTTAGACAGCTGGTGCATTATCCAGAGACACAATGTGTCCTGTTAGAATCTCGGCTTGCCC